ACAAAGCTTCAAACGTCCTTTGATTCATGCGTAGAATGTCGTAGCATTGCTGATCAGATCCATACTTAAGTTGTTGAACAAAACGCCATCCTGCTCCTCGATCTGTTCTGTGACTCAACCTCGCAGGAATAGCCACATCAAACAATCCAAGCTCATCATCATAATCATCATCATCATCTTCCAATATCCATCTCTTAAGCTCCTCAATCTGTTCAAGCAAACCAAGATTGTTTATTAGTGTTCTCTTAAAAAACCCAACAGCTGCAACATAAATTTAATAACTGAATTGTTCTCAACAACTGCAACAAAGTCATATGTTCTCTATGCATGAATTGTTCGATACTAATAATACTAATAGCAAAATAGTTTCATAACTGATTATAAAAAGCCACACAAGGCAAAGTTTCATACAAAGATCAGACAAATATCACAAAAGAGTTCCAGCAAGACTAAACTACTAGTTCCAGAAACTAACTAAATCACAAAAGAGTTTCCTACTAGTTCCAGAAACTAACTAAATCACAAAAGAGTTCCAGCAAGACTAAACTACTAGTTCCATCAAGTTCTAACAAGTTCCAGCAAGACTAAACTACTCAAGCATCACGTTTAATCTTGGTCCTAAGCTCCAAAAACTTGGTCTTCGCTTCATCTGTCTTCATCGTTATGAATCCCTTTCGGCTCCCTTCACTATCAATCAAAAGCTCAATCGATGCTTCATACAACGGCAACCACTCTATCACTTCAGGCAGTGCATACAACATCTCCAATACGGTCTCAACACTAAATGGTTTTTCATGCTCCAACACTTGTTTTACTAGCATATTCTTCACTTCAAGTGCTGCAGTCCGTTTGTCACAAGACTCTACAACCGCATCTTTCTCTTTACGCCTACGTTTTGCTCTTGAACCTCCAGAATGAGTCTGCGCNTCACCTGTTGGCTCATATACAATATGTCCAGCACCACCACCACCTCCACCACCACCATCATCATCATCACCTTCTTCTTCATCACTGTCACTATCAGCTACTTCTCCTTCTCCTTGTCCATCATCACCATTTTGCCACTGTACAAAATCATGATCTTCCCGATGTGAATCACGTATGAAGTTGTGTAGCGCCATCGTCGTTGTCACCAACTTAATCCACTTGACCAACTCATACTTTGGATGTTTGCGATCCAACATCCTCCATTTTGCTTTCCATACTCCAAATGTCCTCTCAATCACTGATCGCAGACCTGAATGCTTTCGGTTGAACAACTCTCTTGCACTAACTGGTGGTCCTCCTGTAGCAAATTGACCAAGATGATATCGCATATTACGATGC